GAGGTTCTGTAGCATTGTCAGTTAGATGGTTGGTTCTCAAATGATATCATTTGCTTGGTTAATTTCGAACAAATTTCTCACTGGGCGTGTGAAAGTCCCATGGCCTGGAACAGGTCATCTTCACAGTCATAATTCCAGTCGACCCTGCTGTAAATAGGTACGGGAAAGAACAATGCCAAGAAGTTAGACCAAGGTTCAGTCATTCAAATAGAGCGCGAACACGAACGCGGAAAACCGTCGACGGCTTTCAATGCGGATCGCCTTTTTTGTTGTTAAACAAAGTGTGACAACAGTCAATTAAAAAGCAATTAATTAATGAATTGGTCCAATGTTATTTTCTTTATAAGTTCCATACCATTGATGAAACAGGCAAAATAAATTGAATTTTTTTTAATCACACACTTATCAGTCCAACCTTCTCTCCGATTCCCTTCCAAATATCTTTCTTTTTTACTGTCTCTTTGTATGTTTTTTCAGCTTTGTCAAACAAAACTGGATTCTTTTCAACTTCTAAAATCAAAACTTCCGTTTTATCCATTGTTTGTACCCTACAAGCAAATTGGAAAAGCCATGTGCACAAGTTTCTATTTTAGGAAATGATGCAAGGGAGGTGGTACAAGCTGATTGGTTGATAGCAAGAAATCCGCCGCGACTTTCTGAAAAATTCGCTCTTGGGGCAATCTCGGCGGTCGACCGCGCGAACGAATATTTGTTCGCGTTCGCGTTCGTGTTCGCATTCTATTTGAACGGCCCCTCTATAAAATGATGAAACCATTCCATGACGAAAAACCGCGTTCGCGTTCGCGTTCGCATTCGCGCTCTGTATAAATGCACCTTTCAGGTTCTTTCATTCTTGCTTCTTCCACTTTTCGTCTTGGGAAGTTGTAACCATCATTGTCAATTTTGGCTGTTCTGTTCACAACCATCATCATAATCTTGAGTGGTAGACGTTTGCCGTAGTATGAAGGCTATCTTCACGACCTACTCGATAACTGTGGTGGAAAGCGAAAGAGTATTTTCATTTTAACACAATCTCCTGAAATGTGTGTTAAGTAAAATCTGGGCTTAGAGACATTAGAACAGAGATTTGAAATACTATTACATTTCTTCGGATCAAATAGCCCAACTCTCGACTTTTATTCATTTACTAACTCAATAATCAATCTTAACTTTCCTATTCAAGTACATTTCAATTTGTCAACTCAAATAACGCCACGGATATATCTGTATTTTAGTCGGGGATTCCTGGCATTTTAACACACCCACTGATGCGAATTTTATAACTGCCAGTAACCAGACCTCCTATCCAGAATTATATGAAACTCAGATGCACATATTTGTTGAAGATTATTTGATGGTTGAAATCATTTGAGGCTTGTAGAGAGTGCTTCATACTCAAAGCATTCTAAAAACGAACATTTTGGTTTATCCTTTATACAAACAAAAGAAACTGTTTCTAGGTGAACAGTTGTTAATTTTTGTTCCAGTCGATATAAGCCTCTGCTACCTGTCAGTAGCCATATTGTATAGCAATTTTCAAAAAGTTTTTCATGTGTATTTATCTCGTGGTGATTTCTTAATAAGAAAAACAGAATAGGCCTGTGAATTATTTTCAAAGACTTTAGAAAGAAAACATCAATGTGAAAGCTCATTTCTGTGATATGTTTTCCGGTAGGCTATGCTGCAATTGGATTATTTTTTTCATTCATCTGTGAATAGAAATTGTAACAACTTTCTTAGAAAATATAATAGACTTTCTTGACGATATACAGTGAAAAATCGTAATTATCCACAGATCCATTCTATGAGTATGTTTATTGAAATGTGCTGAAAGATAATTTGAAAGTTTGAATCTTCCAACAAACGCCATTTAATTTACCGGATCACTAAAGCACAAATATTTCTCAGCAAACTTAATTTTATAATAACTTCGATTCTAGTTCTAGCAGTTGTTAAATGTCAACGGCATTAAAAAAATTAAATGTCACACTTTATTAATGTCTGCTGGCTATACAATTGAAAGTCAGTAAAATTTCTAAAATAAGACCTGCAGGAAATCGGATATTCTAAATACAATATCCGCTTCGTCTTTTTAGATCAATCAATTTAATTGCAGATATCTGAGATAAAAAGACAACTCTATTTAGAGAACATTGGCGTTATCTATTTACTATTATTTATTTATTTGCCTGTCACCTATATCAATTCATTGTCCCGACGATGTCATGATTAGCCATCGTTAAGGTATACCATAACAAATGGTTGTTTATTGTATTTCTGTTCATTTGGTCACAAGAAACTGTAGATGGCCTACGGCAATACATTTTTATGGCACTAGTCAAGTCATCGATACGGCTGTAGGTGTGAAAAACGTGTACAGAAGGCGGATATTATTATCTTCATTTGACGGAAATAACGTGATTATCTGTTCTGTCTCAAGAACGACAATGTCAATATAATTACATGATAGATTTCCATATGAACTAACATTCAACAATAATCACAAATCATTTCTTTTTGTAATATTCTTGACAATCTCCACAATCTGTTTATCAGTTTATCAAGTTAAAATAGAATATCCACTCTGTAGGGGGCGGTTTTGTGCACTAAACTTTAAGGTAGGCGACTTGACGACCTTATCGGAGAGTCTATATTGCTTTAGCACAATCAAAGGTAATTTAAACATGCTTAGAATGAGTCAAATAACAGCTATGATCCATTGGAATCCCAAGATCCATGTTATGAAACGATAAAGCTGCATCTTAACCAGATTTAAGATAAAGTTGCAATGCCTGTATTTTGGAGACGTTCGAATATATATTCATGATTTTAGATAACACAATGTAACATATTTAAGGAGAAGGGGCGGGGTGTGAATATGATCCAATTAAATGTATTTGGAGAATAGTTAGAGAGCCTGCATTTCAATTTCTTCAGTAGAATATATAAGAATAAATATAATAGTGAATATCTGGGAAGACATACGTATAATCCAATTTTCATAATGGTTATCAAGAAAGTCTGCTGAGCTTAAATAATGGCACTAATCCCATAAATGGCGTATAATATATTTACATATCTTATATAAAGGAATTAACAACAATTACAATATATATTTACCATGAAAAGGTGCTGTAACCAATAAATAAACAAATTGTCAAGGGATAATAAAAAGCCCAAGTAATTAAGTCAACAGTATTGACGATCTATTGAACTAGTCTAGGAATTGGTGGGATGTGAATCTATTGATGTGAACCATATATAGCTATATTTACCCAGTTTCTACAACTCTTAGTATTGGACACAACCTTTCTGGAACATTTTCACCATCGATCAATACTGTTTCCTTATAAAACTTACTGTGAGAAACTGGTTTGTCATGTACTAAAGAATAACACAATTTTATATCTGTAGAAATCTGTTCAAATTGTTCTGTATTATATTCTTTGTCATTTCGTCATAGAAACAACAACTAGTTGGGCGAAACCGAGCAAAGCCTTATTGTAGCTACCTAATTCGCTAATCCCAATATCTGTGGAGGCGTGATGATAATGAGGGATATCCCGAAATGTTCAAAATGAGAAAATAAGAAAAAGTCTGGTTTAAAGTTCTTACTAATGGATTCTTAAAAGGTACATCCGACAACAAGGAAATGTAGCTTACTTATGGTTAATGTCATAATGAACTTTTTAAAAGCAAGAGTGTGGTTGTGAATATCAAATTCCCTATATATTGGCGAGTTTATTCATATTGTGCAATTACATCTAAACAAGACTCTTTACCAAATCATAATTTTACCGGTCGGTGCTTGAGTTGCTTTCGTATTTCGGAGAGTAATTGTTAACAAGATTACCAAATGATTTTCAAGGAACCTTGACAGCAATAAGAACTGTTTACAGATACATCTATAAAATTACATAGTAGAATATTGATTTATTATGTCATCTGTAATTCGTTACTTTTTCAAATTTTAACAAGTAGAAAAATCCAAGACTTCTATTGTGTGTACTAGCTACTTGATAACCCTACAGTCGCCTTAAGGCCCATTCATTTCTAGATTTAAGTGCTTCGGAGACATTGTTTTTCACTCATTTCTTGTGACCAGTAATTTCTCTGGAAATATGACGATCATAAAACTTCTCGTTTTCACTGCTGATATTAAATTATTTATTTTATATTTCTAGAAGCAGTTACAGCGAATGAACGAAGACGATTCCAAAAGTTATATCAAAGATACCAGTCTGAAGATCAAAAAGGGCTGGGAATCGGAAACGTTTGATGGAAAATTTCCAGACGAATAGGTGCTATAAACTATGGTGCTAAAAGTCATGAATCAGTAAATGATATAATACAGTATGAAAATTGTTGACGAAGTATATTGGTTGTGTGATACAAGAGGTTAAATCATATCATAATGTTTTTCTCGCTGATCAATATATCATCTCGCAATATAGCGTGTGTTTCAAAACTACCCTGGAAAAATCATTTGATGGATTGCTCTATAATGATCAAACGTCGAAAGCAAATTTGAATTACCATTGATTTCTCTTTGAAACCAGATTTAAACTTCTACACACTTACACTGACAGCTTCGATTTTTACATTGTAAACATAAAGAACAAAATGGTCGACGAGCTCAATTTGTGTGGAGCTTAAGAATCTTTATCCTCTATATATTATTGATTCGTGTTACATGGTTCCATGCCGTGATTAATCCAGTACTTTAATTATCGTAAATTTCCATATCAATTATATAATCTTTCAATTAATAGCAAAAACATGGACATAAATGTTTTTTAATTAACAGAAAGTCATCGGTAAATGTCAACATCTATCTAACTGTATATCTATTGAAAATTATTATCACATCTGTTCATATCTGTGTTTATATCAAAGTGACTTGATGGTGAAAAAGGATCGTTTTCCCCTGAAGATGTTTGTTTAAAAGGAGCTAATCTTTGCATTTAACTTCAACATTGTCTGTGTTATAAACAGCCATCATGTCTTTGGCAGAATCTAAGGACACGTACATTGTTATGATTTTAAACTGGTTATTGAACAATAACAGCACCAATGGTGTCGATTTTACACAACCATACGTACGTCGATCATTGCGTTACGTTTATCCGTTATTCATGTTTTTACATGCTGTAGTCGGGATCGTTGGTATTGTTGGTAATCTTGGAATGTTGGTGGTGATTGTCAAAAGACGATTGTATCACGATCAGACATATTTCTTAATGACAAACATGGCGCTATCGGATCTGATCAAGTGTATTTTTGTATTACCAATCACACTTGCCAATTTGTTGATTCAAAATTGGCTGTTTGGCAGTTTTATGTGTTTCTTTTTGCCGATGATACAATGTTTTCCAGTGCATGCCTCTATGCTGACTTTTGTCATGATAGCCATAGACAGGTATCGTTTAATAGTACACCCATTCAAATCTCGTCTGCCGGCTGGATTGTGTGTTATCGGAGTGTGGGTTGCTGCCGTCTGCGTTGTACTGCCGTATGCTGTTTATATCAAATATATTGATCTTGGAGCTTCTCTTGGAAAACAATTTGATGGAGTTGGCATTTGTTATGTAAACGTTGAAAAGAGAATTGAAGAATATATACGTGCTATATTTGTGACATTGTATGCCATGCCTTTAGCGATTATCGCTTTCCTCTACGTCAGAATCTCGGCCGAGCTCAAATCTCGCGAGGGTGCCTCGGTATCAATTCACTTTGAAGGTAACGAAGTGATGTCAACACGACCGTACGATACAAATTTAACTTGGTCTAGTAATAATGGAGCCACGACTACGACTCGCTTAGATCCTGATGCTGGAGCTGGGGAACCTTCAAGACTGAAATCTTATAACGAGGCTGCTACCCAGGATAGTGATGATGACCTTGACCTCGTTAAGGAAAAGCGAACCCAAAATTATCTTATTGCTATGACTACTCTATTCGCTATGTGTTGGTGTCCACTACAAATTCTTATTTTAGTTCATTATTTTGTTCATGAAAACGATGACAATATGGATCACTATGATATCACTTACATCACATTTACTTGGTTTGGTTTTCTATCCACTTGCACCAATTCTATTTTATTTGTGTCTTGGCGCATGTCCAGCGCCACTAAAGATAGGCTTCGAGGTTACTTCCGGTTTAGCAACAGAAGGAGGTGTTCGATGCAGGTAAGCCGTCGTCATGAACTTGCCTCTTCTTCTCGTACTCCTTCAACTGTAACAACCTGTACAATCCAAGAACATAGTCCCCGTCAATCTTTAATCATACAAGATCCAAGTCCTCGACAATCATTAGTTACTCGTGAACATAGCCCGAGACAATCACTATCAGCAGATCAACATAGCCCTCGCCAAACATTAACAATCCAGGACAATACTAATTCCCGACATATCCAAGCCAATCGTGTGTAGTTTCTTTTGTACGTCTTCTTTCTGCTTTATTCTCACTCTATCGCACTTTTTATGTTGTGGAAACATTGTTGTGATGTGAAATACCTTTAACCGATGTTGATGTGGTCTGTGTGTATACTATACGGATAATGGATTAATGACCATTGGTCAGTGTGGATGTTTCTATCTGAGTTAATGCTAGTTATCTGAAATGTTTGTGGTCTGAGCCATCGGAGAAGATAAATACCTCCGTGCTTATATTTCAGAGAAGACGAAGATACAGAGCAGACTATGTCAATGGGGCATCCAGAACAAAATTTGAAGAGCGACTGGATATGAAAACTCTCAGAGAGGCGGCATCGGTTTGAACATAATTCTTACACCAGTGACTGTACATAGAATTCTATATTTTCTTATCTTTGCACATTTCATAAATGTACATGTATATTTCTAAGAAAAAAATCACATTTGTCAAAATAACACGAATGTCAAGCCAATGAAACTGCTGTCAAATGTATAATTTTGTTATGTAATGATAATGTTTTTCTGAAACCCGTTAAACCTATTCTGTGATCGTGTTTTGTTATTGATTTTAGATATTATGAGGGTTTGTCGGAGCTGTTGTCCCCACAGTTCCTGGGATATCTCATATCCTCAGCACTTTCCCTTCATGGGTGATTGATATATGGGCAAGATATATGGCACAATTCCCTGGCGATATGAAATGGTACCAAACGAGCAGATTTGTTTTCAAGCCCCATCCTATGCTTTGGTAACCCTGAATAATACCATTTGCTAGCTCCTAAGATGCTATTTTAGCCTTTCTCCAGCTATATACCACATAACATTTATTTAGAATGAAATCTTATTTAGATCATCTCTATATAAATGAAATGGATCTGTACGTATAAAGGTGGAAATGAAATGAATGGAGTTTTACGTCCTACTTTTCTGCACCACGTGGGCTAATGAAGACGGGCAACGCCATGCAGGGTGCAATGAGGGAAATTTTGCCAGGACAGCGGCATTACCCTGCTCTTTTTTGATTTCCAACAGTTAATCGTGTATTTGATTCTTTCGCCTGTATTTATTATCTCAAAGCGGACACCGGACCTGGTCTTTCTTCGCCTTTATGACTATGTCTGCAACAGTTTGAAAGTATTATAAAATTTAGTGATATACTTCCATGTATTATAGATCAAGTTGTTGGCTGAATATGTTGAGTGAAAGGCAAAGGGGTTAAAATCTAACATATCCGTTCGGAGAAGAGAAAAACTTCTTATTCTTAAAGAAAAACTAGTCTATAACTATTGATTCCATATCCCATTATAAATTAAAATGATATTTCTTAATGATTTGGATCACAGATCACGAGATAAAAGGGTATTGAGCTATAAACATGGTTCCCAAACTCACCAAGGAAAGGCAAACTGAAAATCCAAAAGTCGTGTAAGTAATACATTCTTGTTAATATTTTAAAATATAATACTTCAGTAAAAATCTATCAAGCACCCCCTACCAACTCCTGTGATATTTGCAATAGAGCAAGACTTCTTTTGTGTTTAATTCTTCTTTCCACAAAAGGTATATAACATCTTCAATTATTAACGGAATATCAATCGAAGTATACTGTGATAATAATTGATAACACTCGTAAAAACAGTTGTACTCAATCAAAAAAAGTTCATTAATCAACTCGTTTTCAAAACGGTTCTTATCGGAAACGTAATCTCACTTATCTGCCCAGCATGTTAAAAACAATATAAAATAATAAATCTAAACGATGCAATTAACTACAACTACATATAGAACTAAATATGGAAACTGACAAGGTAACTAATGGACATACCATGTTAAGGTTTTAAACGTTGACAACATCCAATGGAATCGATAATAATACTTAACAAAAACAACCATGATGAAATTTTATAATCCCATTTCAATAGATTGATAAACGTCAACAACATGACAAGGATCTAAATTCATACCATTTTGCATGTAATATACATTCCATTCTCAGTGGCGGCGACACGAAGGGTAAGGTTTAGGGTGTTTCCTCACTAGAAAAATCGTTTTCAGGTACCCCCATTTTATTTCTGAGATATATCAAAGTGAGGTTTTTATGCCCCAAAATATGTGTAATAATGCTTCAAAACATTCTTTTGGTGGGACCCCGTCCAGACCCCAGAAGACTATCGTCGCCACTGTTCAATCTCCGCCTACTTTTATTTTTCCTATTCATGGCAATCATTTCTGATGTCAACTGAATTATATTTTTTCTCAATTACATTCATACTATTATTTTCTATTCTGGTAATCATGTTATTGACTTCATTTCACTCAATTCAATTTGTCTGTTCATTTAGTACTCTGTTTTGTTCACTTCTGTACTGATTTAATCATTGTTTTCTACACTCCTACAGATCTTATAATTGTTCCCTGCACTCATACAGATCAAATCGTTACTCATCTAATCATTGTTTTCTATATTCTCACTGATCTAATCATTCTTTTCTATACTCTTATTGATTTAATAATTGTTTTTTTACAGTCGTACTTATCTAACGCCTACTGATCTAATCATTGTTTTCTATACGCCTACTGATCTAATCATTGTTTCCTATACGCCTACTGATCTAATCATTGTTTTCTATACGCCTACCGATCTAATCATTGTTTTCTATATTTCTACTGATCTAATCATTGTTTTCTATACTCCTAATAATCTAATCATTGTTTTCTACAATCTTACTGGTGTAACTATTCTTTTCTATACTCCTTTTCATTGATTTCTATACTTTGACTGATCCAATCATTTCTTTCTATACTCAAATTGATCTAATCATTGTTTTCTATACTCTTACATTGTTTTCTATATTCCTACTGATCTAATTATTGTTTTCTATACTCCTACTGATCCAATCATTGCTTTCTATACTCAAATTGATCTAATCATTGTTTTCTATACTCTTACATTGTTTTCTATATTCCTACTGATCTAATTATTGTTTTCTATACCCCTACTGATCTAATCATTGTTTTCTATACTCAAACTAATCTAATCATTGTTTTCTATATTCCTACTGATCTAATCATTGTTTTCAATATTCCTACTGATCTAATCATTGTTTTCTATACGCTTACTGGTCTAATCATTGTTTTCTACAATCTTACTGAACCTATCATTGTTTTCTACAATCCTACTGGTGTAACCATTCTTTTCTATACTCCTATTGATCTAATCATTGTTTTCTATACCTTACTGATTTAATCATTGTTTTCTGTGTTTTTTATGCTTTTCGTAGGTAGATATATGTTTTCTCAAATGCCCTTTATCGGCGGCTTACTTATGAAAAGTACAAAGGCAATAGGTTGTCGAACAATACTGTAAATGGTTGAAAAACAAAAACAAAAAAAAGAACGACCGTGATCTTGTTGCCATCTCGTAGCTTCCTAGACATTTACAGTTTCCGCACGTTATACATAAAATTCAGAATTGGGCTAAGATCATTGAAGCCTCTCAGATCAATGATTGTACACACCATTGAGGCGAAATTTATTGAGCCGGAATTAATTGGTTTTAAAAGGAATTGTGCTAGACTGGTTTCTATCTTGAGGCATTAGGAGAACTAGTTCGTTATCTCTTCTATCTTTATAATTTGGTAGTTTTCGACGATCGCCGTCCAACTCTCTTCTAGATGAAGGGAAGATTGCCGACCTTATCCTTTCTCATAAAGACGCTATAGGCATCATTTGATTAGAAATTCTGGTGATCAAACTAGCGATAATCATAGCTGTCAATTTGAATTGAGACTCCCACGGCGAGCACCTTTTCTAATCAATACACTTGTATTGTTTGTTATGTTCGTTTCATAATTTCAAGTTAATCCAAGTTGTTTCAGCCAGATAATGGAATCCCTTGACGATGACAAGGATATTGTCTTTATTGTAAATAACAAGTCGTATCGTAGAAACGATTGGAAAGGTTGAGGAAATTGCATGATTCATCAAATCAACATCATTATGAGGGGGTGTTTTGAATGGAAATGAAAACCTAAGGGAGGTGAAAATCAGTAATTGTGCTCGAATTTAATTCGCAGAAAAGCCGTCTGTATAGTTTGACGAAAAGGCTGCGTGAACGAGTGTGTTATCGTGAATATCTTGAATTTGACTACTTCGCATCTTTATTTTAATAAATCGTTCAAATTAAGAAAGGTTACGCAATGTGAGGTATAGAAACTTTGGAATTATTCTCTATATATCTTTTCCACCAAATTATCTGGTAACCTATATGACCAGCCGAATTAATACCTAGGATCACAGCTTGTAATTCTTTGTCGCTTAGCAAAGATCGTTCAGGTTAAACCAACCTCAACCAACATGATGTTATAGACGGACATTTAAGTTGCAGGTCCCATTGATTGTTTTGGAATCTGATGAATAATTGCCTCAAATAACAAAGTCTTAAGCCGTGAACACACGACGTGTACGCGGGTCCGTACAAAATTCGCTACTATTTCCTACTGCATTGATAATCTCGCATCGTAAACCGCACCGGACACCTACATCGTCTATTCGCACTTTAATTAGTTCTCTGTTTGTGATCCATTGTGAAAGGAAACAGATTTAAACTTCCATTTCAAAGTTAGTTAAATAGCAGTTAAGGATGATCCTGAAATAAGATCAATTAGTAGTTTCACACCCTACATTCGGAGAATCATACTGCGCACATCTTAGATCAAACGGAAGTTCATCCACACGGCAAAGTACAGATTTCTTAGCCAAGAATAACCTAAAACAATCATTGATACAGATCTATAATTGGAGGTTTTTAGTTAACTTTGATTCCAATTTTGTCCAAATTGTTTTTTAGAGATCAGGACAGATTGACAACGTGTTTTCGACAGGTATTAAAAGCCTGTATATTTGAATGACATAATGTTGAATAACTTGGCCTTCTCGTTGAGTCTTTTTCTTCACAGTGAGATCATAATGTCAAAAGCTGTTTGGAACTTTGACATTATCTTTAAAATTATGGTTAGCTTAACCTATCCGCTAAATTTAATTAGATCTGACTGCATTTTCAGTCTCAAAATCCTCTCAAATCTCTTTATCTTCAACACAAACCAATTCAATTAACTTTTCTCTCTACCATCCCCAATTTACATCACATTAAAAAGTAAGTAGAAGCTTTTAGGATGGTAATTGAATATAACTGTAACGGGTAACGATGTTGCGTGTTTATTGAGTGAAATATGTAAAATTCTATACAGAATACCAAAAAACAGACATAAATACGAAGTTGTTTTTGTGCTAATATCTGATATATGATAAGCAAAGATGGTAATTAATTGTTTCAAACTCCATGTGAAGTGACAAAGCGATCAATAATTCAACAAGTTTGACAGCAGAAAAACATTTTCATATCACGAAACCATTATACAGATTTGATATATCTCTTAAGATTATTGTTATTTTCAATTATTAGTTTTGTTACAACCTTACAAGAACGATTTTCACAATTTAACAACCACCTGATGTCAAATATATCACCGTATACTGTTTTTTTTGTTCACGAAAAAACAAAGACACGGTTTCGATTTTGGTCAATATAATTCTGAGATAAAATTCCGGATCTATGACGTACAAAGATTCTATTCGTCTTCCAACTAATTTAGCCAATCAGAAATAAAAGGGGTAAGTTTGTCGCAAATAATTCGACTAATATTCATGCCGTCATTTTATTACGGAACCATTGTATTGAAATAACACAAAATGACTTTCGTCTTGTTATTAGAGCTATGTAAATCCATGCGTTAACAGATAGAAAAAAAGGTGTCGTCAATGGTTATAACGTCGAAAACCTTAATACAAAAGGTTACATATCAAATGCTCAAAAACGTAAAAGTAAAAACAATTAGGGGTATAGCGAAAGGCTATAATCTCAATTCGAGTAATGTCCTCAGTCTGAATCTGATTTTCATGTTTAAATATGAAATATAAAATGATAAATTGAATGATGTTAAGAGATCAGACATTACTCTTCGACTTCTACAAAAATCAATATTTCCCTTCGTTTTATATGAAAAACGTAATAAAATCATAAAGATATAAGATCAATCAAATTCGTATAATTAAAGTATACTTTCAGAGACAGCCATAAATGAACGTTGTTTAAAGGGAATTTAGTAGAAATCACAATTGTTTTCATTTTTCATTCTTAGGGCAAATTGTATTCATATTTACAGAAACTATCCAGATTTGACGAATACAGATTAATCTGACTTACAATATTTTCCTTATATCAGTTGTTTTGCTCCATCAAAATAAATATCATTGCGAGTGACTCTTCCTGGAAAATATATGCCCTTTTTCGACTGTTCGTCAAGCCATGCTTCTACGACAAGGTCATATTGTTTTCTTTAGTTGTATGTTCAAAGCTGGGTACAGTGACTTGTATTCTATTATGGTGGTTAGAGTTTATAATTAATGAGAACCCAGGCGAATCTAACTTCCATTACAATAAATCAAGGTTACGGAAACCATCGTGGACATCCCAAGGCATTAGGTATAAAAAAAAGATGTGTGCAATGTCAACAGTTAATGGTATCTATCGATTTGATTACATGCAGATGTAGAGTTTTGTTTCCTGTTTTTCTGCGCATGGTTACGGCATTCGTGGTATACACAATATAATACAAATCCAGAATTTATAAAGGAAGCTTATCGCAGAGTCGCCACACGTGTGTTTTAGAGGCATAGAGGACGATAATTAATCTACTTTAAGGTTTTATTTCTTTAATTAATGGATCGAAATGCACAGCAAATTTAACCCTAACATACCTTTTTATATAACAACGTTACGTTAAAAGGCTGCAATAAAAAACTACTCAAAGTTCACATCTTCTTCACAACATCAAGCTCTAGCGAGCTTCGTCTTGTACCCTGACTTCAATAATTACTGCCCTGTTGACATTATAACATTAACTTACTTTTCCTTATAAACAGGATGATTTAAGATTCCCGTTTTAATAGCTCAGTACAATAAATAAAATAAGAAGTCCGTTAATTGGCTAGACATTATTTTCAAAGTGAAGAAGGACAAGTTTCACATTGGTTTATTTTAGAATTATTTAAAATCAGTTCCTTAACCAGACATAAAAGACCCCTTTCAGAAATAATGCTAGAAAAATACGAATCTTAACGCCTTGATACGCCACTAAATTTCCATTTCCATAAATTTGATCATTAAGGAGCACAGATAGTTCATCTAAAAGTTCAACCTACACTAAATGTTGATAAATTTGATATTTTACGGTTCATATTTAATGGGTTACATAAACCTTATTATAAAATGTAAGTATAGACAGTCTTGCTATTAGTATGCTATTAGTCATTCCCCTTATTTAGACTAAATCGAGAGGTGACACAATTTCTTGTAATTTCAACTATCGATTCTGTCTGAAGACGGTGAAATCCTAAAACTAATTTTCTTTAAAGATCCAGTTAGAAACTTAGTTCCAAATTTACTGTAATTGAAAGATCTCCAATCGCTTTTATTCCATTTTATTCCTGATTTGTTCCATCTATTTCAGGCATTTAGATTGCTACAAAAACTTCGTTTAAAGTGCAATGAACTTCTTCAATTCAAAAGCACTGCTGACGCTCCTTAACGAGTACACACAGAAAACCTATGGTAACGATATTGTGAAAGTAGGAGATTTGTTAATGTAATGTACACAAATCGTTCATGGTTGGAGTAGATAAGAATTAAGTCATTTAAATATTTGCTTTAGAGGCTGAAATTTGTACAATGTTGAATTTCAGCTTTCATGAAATCCAACATTAGCTTTTCTGCGATTAAATTAAAACGTGTCGGTTAACGTCTTATAGTCATATCTGCTGACTGCTTTTGAAAATGTAAGCAAAGCTGCTGAAAATTTTAGTTCATTTAATTGTAGAATAGCCATTTAACCAGGCGTCTGACTAGTGTTCTGATAAGTAATCCAGATAGTTGAAAATTATCTTTATCAGTTGTCTGGAAGGAATTAAGCGATTTTCGTACATTTCTAGTACTTCTGAAGACTATTTACAAATATACAAGACTCAAATCAACCTTCGAAAATGGCGATGCTGTCCCTTTAAGGGTAAGTTTAAGTAAGTGAGTATTCCCTGCGTAAACATTTATTTGTATAATTCAAAAAGTGAAATATTGGAAATCAGAATATTTTTCAAAACGTTATAAAATCAAATAAGTTCACGAAAGAAGGATTACTCCCTCTATTGACATTTATGTTGAAAGAACAAAATTATTTTTAATGTTAACAGACACTAATAAATCTGAGCTCATACATCTTCGACTTGTATCTGCAAAAGCCGCCTGTATCATGAACTGCAGCGATTTGATTATACGTCATCGAATACAGCCTATCAGAGTAGACAGTAACATTATGGCTTTTGGTTTACAGACTTCCTGTCCACGACTCTGGTTGTATTCTATGGCGTACAATCAAAGCAAATCGCTACATTTACAAACTTAAGTTATACAAAAAAGGTGGCCACTGCAACTATTGCATTGTAAAGAAGGTGCTCATAGTGCTCCCCCATTATATTATCTGCCACAACTGTAAAAGATGTTTTTTCCTTCTCTTCCATCTATTTGAAAAATGGCCTTTTTATTCTAATATATGGAGAGCTTAAAATAAGTTGTTATCTAATATCTAAGAATAATATTTGTGGAGGCCTAAGGCAAGGTAAACAACATCAAGATTGGTTAATATTCTATTAATTAAATGCACAGATTTAGAATTTTATTTCAATATTTTGTAGACATTTTCATGGTAAACAGATTTTCACGTGCCAAATTTGTCAATTTGGGAATGATTGTAAGGTTTTCCAGGAGTAGTAAATTTATCACTGGCAAAAGAAAAAAAAATGGCAATTGCTATTTTCCTGTAAACTGTTTTTCTACTCCTACACATAATTGGCTAGGAAATAACAATTTTATTGATTGAATTACTTTAAATAAATAAGGCCACTGAATGAGATATCCATAAGAAAAAATGGTTGAAGGCCATGGTTCACCATGTTTTACTGTTGATTTGTATTTGAATAGTTTTCAAAAGTACTAGAACTGTACGAATATTGCATAATCTCGTCAAATATACCTCGGGGAGCCATGGCGGCTCAGTGAGTTAGACGCTTAACTTGAAGGTCGAGCTAATACATTCGGATTTTTCAAACCGGCTTCCTCCTGTCGGTGATGCAGGTAAGAGGGGCTGACATGGAAAAGGCGTGTAGTTCGGATGGGACAATAATCCAAGGTCACGTGCTGTGCACTTTAAAGATCCCTCGACAGTTGGAAATCGAACAAAAGCAGGCTTATGCCGCTGTCCTGTCAAAATTTCCCTCATGGCATTGCCCGTCTTCATTAGCCCACATGGTGCAGAAAAGTAGGACGTAAAACTCCATTCATTTCATTCCATTGCACTTCAAATATACCTCAAACTAGAAATTTCCGCATTTTCTGTATATGTCTTTTCTATATAGCAGTCGTCATTTTATCTTTCAAACGCAGATCATTCTGGACATGCATTTGAAAGCCCAAATTTCGACGGTGAACACTATTACTCATTAGTACAGGTAAAATATCCCGTTTCTAAGACTAAGGTTGATTGGTCAAACAAATGGTGAATCTGTCCTTTTAAATTACAAATAGAAACAAATAACTTGAAATTTTTATTCATGATTTGAAATGTACATTCATTGACACAAAAATCAAAGGCTTATTCATCTTCATAATATCCCTTGGTTTCCACATATTTCAATGCTTTTTCTTTGATAGCAGCTACTCTATCAGGGCTACCATATTTATTTTCAAAGTCTAAATATTTTTTAAAAATAAATTTCATCCTTTTTGCATTCATCTTCAAAGACAAAACTCTTTCAAACAGTTTTCTGGAAAAAAATTGTTTAAAAGCAAATATGGATGATGAACCTACTGAATTAAAAGCATTGACATAACAGTTAAAAAGGTTATAAAAGTTCATACTATTATTCAACATGAACACTTAAAGGTCATTGTCTGATAGATGTAACCACTTCTGCAGAAGAAAATATTTCCTGTGCCTGAACATGTAAGACATCTGCTTGCTAGTCTTAAGGAATACATACTAGTTTTACAATATGTCTTGTACGTTTTATGTTTCCCTTTCAATGGAATTGAAGACTTAAAATCATTTTTTGCATTGTAGGAAACCTGTCTTTAGCAGCCCATTACACTTAAAAACAAACTCCTTGATCTCCTATTTTCAAGACACCAAACAAGGGGAGATTACAACTTCAGACCACAATAAATTAGTACTAACCTTGTGCCATCTAAATCGCCTAATATTCGTATCATATCGATATACACAGACCATAAATCTAATCTTTTTGGATAATTAGTTACTAAATTTTCATACATAGTGCGACCTCTCTCACCATCGCCAAATTTTATCTCCATTTGTGCTACTTTACTTATCATTTCAATATCTGTAAAATGAAAAAAAAAAGGAAATTTCACTAGGTTTGCAAGAGATTTTCATCTGTCAGGCCATGGTCAAATAAAATTGCAAGGTGTCGTTTTATGGGGGGCAAATGTGGCAAATGCCTTTACAATGATTAGCTGTTTAGACATAAAGCGAATTCTGAAAATACCCCAATCAAATCTTTACCTCACTGTTTTACACAATGTTCAAATTTATCAAAATATAGTAAGTGTAAATACACTTACGTTCTTTCTTTTCTAAACATTTGAAACATCTCTGTAACAATTTTCTACCGTTATCAAAACGATTATTACGGAAACAAAACTGGACATAATTCAGCCATATCTGTTTTTCACCACTGAATTTTTTAACTAGAATTTCATAGAGTTCTTCTGCTTCCTGTAAATCAATGCACTTTTGTAAGAATAGAAATTTGCAGGTTTATAAAGTTAGATGAGGCACTTTTTACATTATCTAAAGCCCTTTCCCTAGGTTTTTATGTTATCTAAAACCTTTCCCTAGGTTTTTATGCTGTTTAAAACCTTTCCCTAGCTTTTTATGTTATTTAAAACCTTTTCCTAGGTTTTTATGTTATTTAAACCTCTAGGTTTTTATGTTATTTAAATCCTTTCCCTAGGTTTTTATGTTATTCAAAACCCTTTCCCTAGTTTTTTATGTTATTTGAAACCTTTTCTCTAGGTTTTTATGTTATTCAAAACCCTTTCCCTAGGTTTTTATGTTATTTAAAACCCTTTCTCTAGCTTTTTATGTTATTTAAAACCTTTTCCCTAGGTTTCTATGTTATTCAAAAACCCTTTCCCTAGGTTTTTAAGTTATTTAAAACCTTTCCCTAGCTTTTTATGTTATTTAAAACCTTTCCCTAGCTTTTTATGTTATTTAAACTTCCCTAGCTTTTTATGTTATTTAAAAACCCTTTCCCTTGGTTATTATGTTATTTAAACCTTTTCCCTTGGATGTGTATTAAGCCTTTGTGATGTTCCTGTGTGATGTTCATTAACAGTAAAACAAAAGTTTACCTCATATTTTTCAGAGCGGACATATATACTGATCATACGTTCATGTATTTTCTTAAAATCACAAAATTTCTTAGCTCTTTCAAATAATTCTTCTTGTTGATCTAAGGTACCATACATATTCTCAAGATTTAAATATGCCACCCAAATATTTAACTTTTCTTGTTCATCTCTGTAAAAAAAATACTTAGATAATTTCATGCTAAGATCATAGTTCCTATTTCTAGTTTTATATATGTAATTTGACCAAGCTGTACTTGGGTACAGATAATCTAAAATATCTCCCTACTAAGAAGATAGTAGAGAAGATACTTGTATACCTAAATTGTTTTCCTTGTCAAAAATGGTGGTTTCTTCTGTCTTTAAAATGACTATACCGGGTTAATTTGTAATGGTATAAATCATATTCCATTGAAAAAAAAAGTTCACAACTTTACCTAAAACTGATAGTGTTTAAAGCCCTTTCTGCTACAGCTCTAGCCTTATCTATTTCTGTACATTCTAGATGGTAAGCCATATAACGTGTCCAAACTAGAGAACTGTCTGGTGATTGTAAAACTAAACGATCAAAATCATCAGCTGTTTCTAATTCTTCTTTACCTTCTAGTCTTTTCTTTTCATACTGTTAAATACAATACATAACAATTTATTATACATCTAGATTAAATTTTGCAAAATTCTGTCATTAAAATAAAGCAATATGATGAATTTTATAAAAAATTTAATAAAAAAATAATACCTCATATATTTTCTTTTCTTCTGCTATTTTCTCCAATCTAATTTCAGCTCGACTTTTTTCAACTTTCTAAAAATAAAATTTGACCACAAATCAAATCAAGTGAACCCACTTTTAAACTCTGCCATGAAATATTTCCCTTTTTGACAATAGATCATGACATCATATTCTTAATGGCCTTTATTACGAAAACCTGTTCTGTGTCTGGTTTGTGACAACTTAACTTTCCTCTTCTGAAGAATCAGTGTGTAAATTACAGACTAAAATTTCTTCTACAAAATGGTAATTAGCAGTATAACACTTTAAGCCCAAAACTTAACTAATACTACTAACCTTGTCTTCTTCTGAATCTGAATCATCACTACTACTATCTTTGTCTTTATTAGTACTACTAGTAGGTAATGTAAACTCATCATCCCAACTAAAACCACTAGATACCTTTAATCTTGGTAATTCTGATTTCTACAATAAATGTCAGTATAACTACCACATGAAAATTAATACTAAAAATTGCTTTTATTTCTATGGACTCAAAATTGATTCAAAGTGACAAACCAAGCCACAAAGTATCATCAGGTGTTTCAAAAAGATGAGTAGGGCCTATGCTAAGCATGATAAAATAATTGATAGATAACCCTATAGTTTGCTGGCTGATTATAGGTGTGTATCTTTTGATAATCTTAATTTGGAAAATTATAAAAACTTTATTGACAGAGACTAGGTAATCCTAGGTATCCAGTGTTCTTGAAAATATTAATTTGATAACTACTGTACCGGTACCTGTTTTGAATTATGACCACTGCTACTGCTGCTAAACTTTGATGAGGTGAAGGATTTAACTATCTTTGATGCAGGAAATGAATCAATTTTTTGTTGAAATGGTTTGTTAAGGGGAACATGTTTATGTTTTTTCTTCACCTTCACTTCCCTTTGTGAACCAAGTTTTATTTTTTTGGGTAGGATAATGTCCTCATCCTCATTCTTAACACTTTTTTCCTTTACATCAGATTTGATATCACTGTCAAGTTTTCTTTTTTCTTTGCTTAATTTTTTCTTTGACATTTTTTCTTTTTTACTCTCATCACTAGTGCTTGCTTGTAGTTTATTAGTGTTGGCATTTTTGTTCTTTTTCTGTTGAGTTCTGTCTTTGACAACATCATTAGCATTTCCTACCACCATTTTCTTTTTATTCTTGTTTTTCTTCTTAGTTATTGGATTGCCAACTTTATTATTGCTTTTAGTACTAGTACTAGTCAATCCTTCTGTCTTAACCTTAGAAACTTGCAATTTCTTTTTCATATTCTTTACCATTAATTAACAATACTGCAGATAGGACTTAGCTAAAAAAAACAATAGGGGATTAGAGATATATTTATTTTGGTGTTATTAACTTTTGGCATACTTATAATAGTCTCACAACATACAAAAGTTTACAATATTAGTAGCTCAACTTGGCACCTAATCTAACTTTACATAGTACCATTTTGACTTTTTCCAGTGGTCATAATGGTAAGATACCAAGTTGACTATGACTTAACCCCATGAGAATGTCCATCTGGGGGAGTAAAGAGCTAGGGCTTAGCGAATACAACTACGAGAATCCAGGCTAGAGTCACAGACCGAGAGTCGAGGATGTCGATGGAGATGAAATGGTTAACCACAATATAGCTTTGTGAAAAAGAAAACAAGAGTAGAGAGTGAACTTTGAACGAAAATTAGAAGTTATCGACCAAAATTAATGATCTAAGTTCAATTAACTAGTATGTTTACATCTGAAACAATGCTGTTCATGGGCGCAGCCATATTGGACTCTTCATTTAAGAAGGTAGGTTTCACCCAATTAGGTCCTATGTTTTCTATCCGCTTGCTATGAAATTTAGTGTCAAAAGGTAAAATTTAATATGTGAACGACCCCATATAATTTCACTGTACCAATATTAGATATGAGGGTGTCATAATTGATACTTGAGAAATGTATCACTTTTTATAAAAAATATATGCCATATTATGTTGTTTTGTCATGAAAATGTAATAAAATATTGTTTTATCAGGAACCTTTAATCATTATCATTCAGGGAATTGTGATTGTATGGAGTTATGTTCCTTTGATAGGCCTACACTTGAGAAAGAATGACTTACAGCTTACAGGGGGAAAAACCATTATGGCATCAACACGTTTCCAGTGAGAAGGATTCATAAACTTTTCATGATTGATGTTTTATATTTAGAATTCAAAAGCTTCTAAAGTTATTGATTGAGTAGGCAAGATTTCCACTTGTCAATTATCCTATGAAATTGTAAGTTCATACATAAGAATTTGGAAATATATTAAACAATAGGGATAGGGAATAGGGATGCATGAACTGATTTGGAACTTTTGCCTGGACAGCAGCATTAGCCTACTTTTTTTCGACTTATAACTTTTGAGGGATCTTTAACATGTACAGCCTGTAGCACACCTGGCCTTGGTTTATTTCCCACCTCAACATCTTACTTGCTGAGCCACCATAGCTCCTTACAAAGTAGAACATCGTGTTACAAATGAATATTTTTAATTACAAGTTATACAATGAACACAAGAAATATCTAGCTTAAAATTATGTCTTCTCTTTTCTTGAGTTCTTCAGTTTTATAGTACATGTTCTTTTAGTCTTATCTATTGTTAAGACATCACACCAAAACCACTGACCAAGACGGTAATTTTCAATGTTCTTATTGACTTTCACAATAGCCTTATATTTCCATGGTAAAGAAACTGATAATTCATTAGTTTCTATATCTATGTGATTAACAAAACATTTCGTTGTTTCACCTTCAACAGTTTTTTCTCTGTGATCTGGAAAAAAAGAAAGGTTTTTCCTATGAAAGATGCAAAATTGTAGATGTAGATACAGTGAATACATTTTTGAAAGCCAAGATAAATAAAAGATACATAAGTTCAAGTGTTGCTATGCCAATGAAAATGTTAGACATGTTTCAAATCAACAAATAGCTAAAAATGAAATATATATTACCTAGTAGCGACAAGACAATTTTTCTCCTTCCTTTACAGCCTACTACTTCTGCGTCATAGCCTTGACCTTTCTTAAAATGATCTGCTACATGTTCTAAAGCCTAAAATCATGAAGAACATAAATGAATGAATTGAAAAAAAAGTGAAGAAAATGACTTTAGCATTTAGTTTAACAAATTTTTGTTGGAGACAAAACAAGAATACCATTTGACAAGAAGAAGAAATGAGCTCACAACTTGCCATTTTCCAGATCAATTGGTACAATACATACAATGAATATAAAATAGTACTTACTGTTAGGTCATTCGATAAATCAAATTTTGAAATCAAGCCCATTCTTTTAGATGATAAAAATACACAGACCTCTTCTTTATCAATCTACATAAAAACAATATTATACTGATGTTAGTATTATCTTTAAAAGTCAAGCAACAACTGATCGAACTGGCTCTCCAAAGCAATAATCCTACTGCATATTTCCATAGAATTGATCATTCACTAGCACACAAACCATTCCACAATTAACTTTTCTTTAATTCACTATTTTTTTAAAATGAAAACAGAAAAAATGAGTAAATTATCAAATACCTTTTTAATGAATACATTTCGACGACTCTTCAGTGGAAAACTTTTGTCAACTTTTCCAATTTTTCCCTTCAGCTGACTGAAAAAAAAGAAATCTGTAATTTAAGGCTCAAAACACTAAAAACAGCTGAAAAATTTAAATATTATTACTATTTCATCCAAGTACTAACCCAAACATCAAGGACTATATTAGCAGTCTCTGACAACTTTAATTGTCCTCAACACATATCCACAGCAACCTATCCACTATAAAGCTTTCATTTGAACATTTTAGTTTTGCATTTTGCCTATGACACAAAGGTACCATGAGAGAGCCAAAAAGTCGAAACCAGGAGAGATATTGGTACATAAAAAACCTTTTTCTTTAAAAATAGCAAATTATCCAAACTATATGTATATAATCAATAATTATAATATTTTATACCTAGGTTTAGCTACACATTCTGCTATCTTTTCTTCACTTTTTCTGATAAAAGAAATAAACAATGGTATAAATGATTAAATTTTTTGTTGATTTTCAATATACATTTCACAAACAAACACTAAGTTATTTGAACACATTCATGATAATATATATTAATGTGATGTCATTTCTTTTCAAATAACATGTCAGTGCGGTGATTTTTATTCAGATAAGCGTTTGGTAGTATGTGTATATCATCAATGGCAAAATTGATATTACTAATAATATATCATCAATCTGACTTGTATTACGATATATACCGCAATTCTATTGTATGAACTTACTTCTTGGCAAAGCCAATGACTCGAACTTTAAGTTTATCATTTATCTTGTATTCACTGAAAGGATGATATCCCTGAAATTAAAGATGAGTCAAAATTAAATGAGATCAACATATTATATTTTTACAACAATTTGTTATTTATTGTAAGTAAATTGAAGGGCGATAGTAGCCTAAATATTTACCATCCAAATCAAAATCAGGTAGATTTTAGCTAAATGTGTCCCTATGAAAATCAGCATGCATGCTGGTGATAATAAAATTATTAGCATGAAATGCCTTAGGAGGCACATGTTAGCTCATACAAACTTATTCCTCACATTAAAGATAAAAGTCAAACTTTAAATGGTTAAGTTTCATAACAAAATGCTTACATTATTTTCAATAGTGTCCACCATATCAGCGCAGTGTATAGTACCAGTATAACCCTCTATATCTAACTCCATGGTAGAGGGATGAATCTGTTTTATACAAGCTGTGTAACACCCACCAATAGATAGATAGGTCTTATCTTTTACAAACTTCTCTTTAAATTTCTCGATCTGAGCTTCCATTAATTTATAGTTGACTAACGCTATCAGATTCTCATTGTGAACACTAGAACATAAACTATCAATTATCATTAACCCTTTCAACATAGACTGCTCTACCAGCCTATGAGTTGAAGTTATATTACATGGAAGTTAGTGTTTGAAGGGTTAATAAAGAGTCAAACTTTCATAATAAAATGGAGTTTAATGTCTCACACTATCAAGTATATACCGTGAAGAAAATCTTTGCACGAAAACAGGGACAATGTGACTGCTTTTTGTCCTACATCCACTTCAGGTATAAACTTATTGATGCTGGCCAGATTTCCCCGAGCATAAGAGAAAAAGAGACTGGATGACACAATCACTAACCTATTAATTTTAACATTTAATTTGTGATGAACTGGGAATAATTCTTTATCATTGATACTATTAATAGTCTGAAATATATACAAAATACCATAGTCAGGGTTGATATTCTCTAATAATTTTACTTCAAAGTTTAAGAACAAGTATTTATCTTAATTCAAAATTTCATTGCCAAAATGGACATTCGATAGCTAACACACAAACTGTTTACACAACCAAATTAATCAAGTCTTTGATTAAGACAATAATTCCAATATAAATCCAGTCTATTTATGTATTATGTGGCAAAATTCCACACATGTATGTATCTTGCAATACTAGCACAAAATGAAATTTTACCTGTTTTGTAGGTACATAAGCCATAGAACCTAGAGCTTTTCCTCTTAATGATACTAAATAATATACAGGATTGACTTGTAATATAGTAGATGATATAGTTGTATGGATATTTAACTGAAAATATATTGATTTTAGAACTTATTCCATCAATAAAGGCCAGATATTTAAGCATATACACTTGATTTCAGCAATCATTTTTTAATTCTTTGTTCAATAGAATACATTTTCACTGTCATAAAAAATTTGTATTCATGATAAGGCCAATTGAGAGGGACAATGCAATGCATTAAGGCAAATTTTGCCAGGACAGTATTAGTCTATTCATTATCCAAATTCAGTGTCAAAGGATCTAAAACTTATACATTCTGCTTCCAGACAGGGGGAAAATACTATCTTGGCCCCTGTTAAGGCCTCAGATCAAAATCATAGTAAGCAAACATCAGCTGTGTAGTTACCTGTTGAACATCATCTTCTGTTTGTGTTTTTTTCATGGCAGATATAACCTTATCATCTAGAGATAATTCTATTCTATTATTTAATATATCTATAGACAATACAACACCTAATATCTTATCTCCTTCCATCACTGTTTTACCTAGAATAAAAACCAGAATTCAAATACATAATATTTACTTTTAATCACAGTTTTACCCATCTTCTAAGCTATTACAAACTCTGCCTTATACCTTGACTGCACTAGCCACTATTTCTGTAACTCAAAATGCAACCATTTGATTAGATTGTACACCAGAGAACAGGACCAATCAGAGCCTTCCATTGAAAGAATGTAATCATGGCTTATTGTTTACAGACTTTCTGTCAAGGGGATATTGTTAGTATTCAAAACTATCCTCAGAACAGGGCTTAAATTCCTGAAACATTTTGTTATAAAAGTTAATTATAATTAGTTACCATAAGTTAGATCAGTAGAGACGTGTGCCTGTAAACCATTAGATAATGTAGAGTCAATACCATCATCATCTAGATTATTAACTACAGTACTAACAACAGAACCTACTGGTATACTCCTCATTTTACTCATAATATCTGACAAAAAAAACAGTAAAATTCTAATTCTTATCTTTTCAATCGCTAATTATATAGCAACAATCATGGATTTTTTTCAAATTCTTCATTTCATTTGCTTTTTAACATCATTGAAAACAACGAAAAATATACTAGATAATATGAAACTAAGTAAACAAGATCCAAGAAGTCTGGAAAATTATTTTTTGATTTTCATTTTAAGTGTCGAAACTAGGCAAAAGTATAGTAAACATAACACTTACCTTTACAAGACATACTAGTACTCAGTAAGTCATAAACCAAATCTTTATTATCTAAATAGGATTCCATCAATAGTGAAGCTTTATTTACTGAGTTAGGAAAACAATGTTTGGTCAACATGGAACCAACAAATGTTTTTTTCTCTATATCAAGATAGGTAATACGTATAACTATACTCTGTCCAATATGGAGGTGTTCTACTATATCTTCATAAGATAAATAGTTATCACTTGCAACCTAAAATATCAAAATATTGATAGAACTAAACATTACCTTCAGTTTAACATAATGACCACATGAAACGTTTAGCAAAATATGTCAAAATATATTACCTAAGGGATTAAAAATGCTGGGTTGTTCTTTGAAAACCCTTGTTCAGAATTTTACTTAATTTGAGAGGAATATTAACAGCACCTTCCTAGCAAACAGTTACCAAATAATACATACCTTCATTGGAACTAATCCACCTAATCCACCAGTCAATGTAAAGAAAATACCATATTCTACTATATTCTTTACTACAGCTGGTAATATCATATCTTTCTATAAACAAATAATATAAATTATCATTTTACATGAGTAACCCTAAAAACCTTTTTACAATAAGATTTTATTCAGTGACAGAAATAAAAATTAAAAACTATATAACTTATTTTATCTTCTCCACCTGTTAATGTTTCCATAGTTCTTTTAAGTAGAGAACCAAGGGACATGGGAAAGGGGCAAAACAGAGAAAGGGCAAAATGTGAGTGTTTAAGGGGTGAATGAAGAGCGGGCAATATAGGAAGACGCCAACAAAGAACGTGTAGATCTTCTGGATCAATAAAACTCATTAGAGTGTTTAAAGATACTAAAATATATTAACGAGATCCTTAGAATTATACTGAAGCTTCAAAAAGTTACTGTTCACAGGAAATATGAAATGCATATATCCTTTTCAAGCTGATAAATCACAATCTACTTACACTGATATCAGAGAAATCTCTAGGTATAATATCATTCTCTGTCTGTTTTAATAAAGATGGTTTCATTGATACTACCTATAGTTAGATGTAAGGAAGAAAATATTCCAACTCTTCATGGAGTAAAAAATATTCCAAATCAATACATTTAGCAATTACCTACAATGGCAGCATATGCCAATTGTTTTGAAAGAAATAGAAAAACAAACAAATAACTATATTTTACAAGGCAAACACTCCAAGATTCCATAGTTCTTTTAAGTAGAGAACCAAGGGACATGGGAAAGGGGCAAAACAGAGAAAGGGCAAAATGTGAGTGTTTAAGGGGTGAATGAAGAGCGGGCAATATAGGAAGACGCCAACAAAGAACGTGTAGATCTTCTGGATCAATAAAACTCATTAGAGTGTTTAAAGATACTAAAATATATTAACGAGATCCTTAGAATTATACTGAAGCTTCAAAAAGTTACTGTTCACAGGAAATATGAAATGCATATATCCTTTTCAAGCTGATAAATCACAATCTACTTACACTGATATCAGAGAAATCTCTAGGTATAATATCATTCTCTGTCTGTTTTAATAAAGATGGTTTCATTGATACTACCTATAGTTAGATGTAAGGAAGAAAATATTCCAACTCTTCATGGAGTAAAAAATATTCCAAATCAATACATTTAGCAATTACCTACAATGGCAGCATATGCCAATTGTTTTGAAAGAAATAGAAAAACAAACAAATAACTATATTTTACAAGGCAAACACTCCAAGATTCCAATCAACCAGCTGGCACTTGGCACTGATCTGTCCTGGCTTACTGGTAATCATTTTCAGCTGGGTCAAGGCTGGTCATTTTTCAGTCTGGGTGACCTCATGTGGTAAGAAAACAATGCTCTGACCAACTGTGCTACAGAACCCAATGAAATTTATCATTCTTTTAAGAATAACAGAAAAAATCTTTTGTCATGTTGATGAAATAAAGTTCTACTTTGATTTTGAGCAGCTGCAAGTTTGGTACCATGATAACCACTGAAGTTGTAAAGGATACTATCTTATTGGTGCCAGAAAAATGTATAACTTGTTTTAAAACATCATCAACTTGTAACTTTTCCCACAATAAATCACATAAGTCATCAAAGTCAGCAAGATGAGATTTATATAACACAGCTTCATAACTACTAGCTAGATCTTCTACTATAAATACATCTCTTCTTTTAATCTTTATTCTACATTCTATTATCTACAATCACAGTTAGCTACATAAATACACTATTCATATTCACAAAGATTTCATTTTCTGCTATAAACATGTTTCAAATATAAAACTCATCATCAGGACTCTCATTTCGAGCCGGATGTCATAATAAAGGTGCCCAGGTAACACCATAGCAATTACCAGTCGAAATAATGAAAGTGGTCATGAGTACAGAAGAGAACTCACAACTAAGTTGCATGAGACATGCGTTGAAAATAGCCAAACACAACTGGTGATTTCTATGAGTATCCTTTTAGAGAAGAGTAGGCTTTTTTTGGAAATTTCTTACCTTCCCAGCTTCAAATTGATCAGATACTGAAATCTGTCTTTTTCTTGGTTCTCTTTGTCTGGTGCCTTTCTGAAATAGTATAAATCATTCATTCTATCATATTTACTAGAGTAACAACTAAGGTTCACCAGGATCCTGTCTTCCAACAGGTCCTCGGCCAAACCTCTTGGTATTGTTCGATTCTAGATTATTTGTACCCATTTTCAGATTAGAATATGAGGAAAGATGACTTTCAATTGCTAATCGAGATTAGGGCCCACCACCATATATAATAGTATAACAGTAAGAATAGCATACCTTGAGAGAAAGTATAATTTTCTTACTCTCTTCATCATAATTTATAACTCTACATCTTACTACTTGTCCTATATAAAAAACTTTATCTGGATGTTCTATTCTCTCTTCAGTTAGTTCTGATATAGGTACCCAACCCTACAAAATACAGCAAACAAGTCAATAATCAAAGCATTAAAGTCAGCAGTGCAAGGTTTAATTAGGAGCCAAAACTCATTATGTTGATACCATATAATTGCGAGTATAGTACGCACCCTTTCATACACTTGAGTAAATTGAATTACATGCATAGATATTCAAAGCTTATAAACTAAGGATAAGGGCAGATAACTCCCACCTACCTTTACATTATTATAGAAAGCTACCAGAACACCTTTATCATTCATCATAACAATAAAGCCTTCTAATTCTAGATGTTTGTGTATTTGACTGGTATCATGTACTATAGGTAAGGTAGTATTAACTAGTGACTTTTTATTAGTAAGAGTTACTTTATTGTCCTTCATATCTACCGATAGAACCTGCAATTAAAATAGAAATAGAATTATCAAAAAATATTTTCAGCAAATGGACAAATGGAGTCTAATAAAACATTGAAAATAGGCCTCAGAAATACCATGTATATCCCTTTTTAAACCCTATTTTGGTTTAAGTTGATTTTAAGGATTTTAAAACAAAAATTAAGATTAACCTACCCTACAATCTAGTTCATCTCCTTCATTAAATAATTTCTGTGGTGTTTTTAACGGTACATCAGCCATATGTAGAGCTGGTATAATACCTTTTAAATCTCCAATTTTAACACCTATTACTGTATCTTTTACATATTTCACTTCAACCTATTCAAATTTAATACAATAATACAAATTTACTCAGAATCTGAAAATTAAATTAAATTCTGAAAAATGAGAAGAAACCATTTAGCCTCTACTGTTCCTATTTAGAGTTATGATAATTGGCAACATCTTGAAGAAATTTTGCCAGGATAGAACTATTACCATTCTATTTCTAGGCTTTTTAAATTATAACATATACTTATTCTATGAAATATATATTAATTTACCTTGAACAAAGATCCAGGTACTATGTCTCGTATCTTGATAAAATCTCTATTTAATATACTCCTAGAAAAATAAATAAACATGTACAATAGCAGTACAAAATGTCTGAAAGTCATCAAACAGTTTTTATTCTCTGCATTATAGGTTTAAAGAGTATATCATGCAGAGACTTGTAAGTTTATGGCAGGTTATAGGAATTGGTTTATAAAATTCATCTTTTACCTAAGTAACAATTTCAATACTTACTGTTTCAAAGATAACATAATAAAATTATCAATTGGTGAAAAGCCTATAACTCTACATCTGAAATAAAGAAGATGGTATCATCTATTGATGAACATAAAACAAGAATGAAAAATTTTTTTGCAAGCCATTTAAAGAGTTGAATCATAATAACACCTGCCTTGAAGTTTTAGCTCACAACTAGAGTTTTCCAAAAATAAAAAAATTAAATTTTAAGTAAATACCTTTGTTTTGAGCCTATAGGAAACTGTTCAGATATTTTTTCAACTGTGGAATCTGATAGATGACCTTTCTGGAAAATGATAGAAAAAAAACATACTTAAATCTTTTCAAAAAAATAATTTTTAACTATATAAAAATATGTTATAATAATATAAAATGTCCATATGGCAATTTTTTAATCATTTTGTATCATATCACTTTTAGCAGGCAAAACAGACAGTAGAGTGAAACATTGAATCCATTTAAAACTATTAAATTTACCTGGGCAAATCCTGTTATTCCATGAGTTAATTTCAGATATATTCCTTTCTTGCTGGTTTCACAAACTACAGCATTCTTAACAATATCTCCCACAGTAAACTCATTAAATTTATTATCTAATGTGGTACCATTATAATATAGTAGATGTGGTAGAGTGGTAGCATATACTGTCTTACTCTCTGGATGAATATACAGAATTTTTACTGGAATCTGAAATAAAGAACAAAACAATTGAAACAAAACATTATATCAGAGGAATTTGTACTGCTACTAATAGGTTTTCTCTTAGACACATAAAACATCTTCTCTGAGCGAAAGTTTAAAAAAAAAATCTTTGTGGTTGATAAGGGGTCAGTATGCACATTTGGCAGTTGTATCTGACAGGATTTGCAAAATGTGGTATTTTGTGGTCTGAAAAACTTCATTCTTAACAAGAGTTATTCCCCTTATAGTACAACACAGTTGCTCGTACTGTATTAATCCTATTACCAGATAAGAAAACCCTATATAACATTAAATAACATGTTAAGTCACATCAAACTGTTTTTCATATTTTCAAATATATCTTAAAGAGGAATTAATATACTCAAGTCTCTTAGGAATATTCCAAATTTCAAAACAGCCAAGGTAATTAAGAATGAGAAGATTTATTTAATATCAAACATCATTTACAAGAATTACCTTTTGATCTTCTTTAAAATCTTCATGACTACCATTAACATGTGTAGAATGTATAACACAGAACTTATTACCTACACGTACTACTATACCATATTCACTAGACTGAAATATCACATGATAAACATCAAATAAAATACCTAGATTCTCAGTTGAAATCAGCTTATGTTCATGAGTCTGTTCAAACTTGTTCCACGAATCAGGAACATGCAGAACTCACCAATCGAGCGGCCCCCAAATGTGATGCTTCTTAATCCTGCTGAAGTGACATCAGCACATATGTTTAACAAGAATTACAAAGCTTGTTTTTGCAATCCTTTCTCCAAAACTAATGATTGATGAAGCTTTTTGAGCTTGATCTTTCCCGAACAATATTGCTTGTAAGAAGAAATATTTTCACTCTACCTTCTTGACAATACCAGTAACATTTAGGCCAGGAACTAAATTATAGTATGTAATAGGTCTATCAACTTCTATCTACAAAATAAACGAAAACAATCTACCATCTTAACCATCAGTTTCAATGTCTCCAAAGCAATTGAAGTATTGCTACAAAATGTGCATACAAGGTGTATCAAGGCTTTGAAAATCACAACTTTCTTCATGTAATGTAGCCATATCTGAACAAAATTTAATGTTTCTGAAATTTTAGTGAATAATACTGGTTATATGATCAATAATTACCATTGTTTTTGAGATAATGTCTGGTTGAATATTTAAATATATTGTATGGATACTGTCTGATAATAATTCTTGTTCATCTTTTATTTCTACATGACACCATACTAGCTCTCCTACCATTAAACTATCACCTATACAATAAATACACAATACAAGTTAATAAACACAAAACATATCATTCTGTCAGTATTTGTGTTGAGTTTGGGTTTTCCTAGTTTGAAAGGTAGCAGCACTTAGAATAATCCTTATTAGATGAATTCACTAATGTAAAGAAAATAAAGAATATCAGAAAATTCCATCTTGCATTTCTGAACCATTTGTGAACAGCAGTGTATTGGAATAATGAACCAAAGGTTCACATCAAAAGGCATACCTCTCTTAGGTTCAAGATATGTCACTTGAAATGAAAGGAATTCATAGTCAATTTGAAGAAGAAAACACTAACCTTCACACATAGTCGCGATATAAGTCTGAGTATATTTTTTTGAGAGAAAACCAGTAGTTTGTTGTATACCAATATCAACTAAATAACCATGATCTTCTTCACTTACCACACTTCCACATATCAACTACAAAAAAAAAATATATATCAACCTTTTACTTATTTCTTTATCTGAGTCAAAACCTGACAATATTTCCACTGTTACACTGTGCTCAGTACGTTAATTGTAAAGCGATCTAGTAATACCATAACAGAACCTGAAACATGTTGTTACTTAAGGGAGTTTCACACTGTTTCATGAGATACACAATGCATATTACAATAAATGTTACTAAAGTTTTTTCATTTGATTCCCTCTTGAGTATAAAAAATCTACATACCATGTTATTTTTCAAGCATTTAGCTGTTTTATTCTCATGTACCAGACGAGGGTTTAATGTTAAGTCTAATATTTTTTTATTGATATTATATTTATTATCAGCTATTTTACAACATACTATCATACCAACTTCAAACATTTCCGATAAACCATATACTTCCTGAAAAAAATCATTTGCGAAATAAATTAACATTGATAGCCCCTTCGATACTTATCATCTTATCACGTTTTTCTCTAATCAAAAGAAACCACAGATGTTGTAATGGTGCAAAATGAAGCAATAAGTCTCCCAAATACACATACAAAGAAGAGAAACCTCTTTTTGTGTAAATGTAAAAAAGTTTTCGATTTCTGTTATCTGTTTCACTAACCTCCTCCTCTGTTATCTGTCCATCAGCTAACTGTTGTAATTTATTGGTATAAGCATCAGATATTTCTGTTATAGCAACCACACCTTTTATATTGTTCGACAATGTAATGATTAGTTTATAATCTTTAATTTCACTGATACAACCTAATAATACCATACCAGGACATACTGACTGAAAATACACAAACAGTACAAATTACTAGTAGGGTTGTCAATAGTGTTTTCAAATTAATTTTGGAGCTAGAAATTGCTGATTTAATTTTGAACTACTGAAAAGTTAATACATGAGAGTATTGTTAGCACACATTAGACAATAGGTACAAATTTCATGACATACCTCTAATGGTGATTATGATATTTTCTAAAGAGATCAATGTACACTACCTTAATAGTAAACGGTTCTATCTTGTTTGAAATATGAGTGTCAACAGTTCCTTGTATTTTGTGTTTTTTTCCATCATCTTCTTCAACTTTAGAAATCTTTCTTTTCTTTGATTTAGGTCTACTTTTCTCGGTCTGGAGAATATAAATTTAAAAAATAAGTAATAACAAAAGAATTTGCATCTGAAAAACTATAAGCCTACATGAAAAGCATTTATCATTTAGTTCATATACAATTTCAATGTTGTGAAGCATTTTTGTCATCGACACCTCTTGTTATAAAGCATCTATTGGATTACAGGTCAAGTCAATACAAAGGATATCAAATTCTTGATTTCAAAATTAAAGCCATAGGCCTACCATGAACAGGTTTTTCTCCCGTTTTCTTTTGACCGGCTTCCTAGCAGTTGCCTTTTTATCTCTCTTCTGGCTCCCTTTACCTCGAGGAAAATCAACCTCCATTATTCTGGTAATATTATATCACAGGTTCCTGAAAGTATAAAACAATACTCTTAATCAATAAAATAATACAAATATAGTTCTTTTGGCCAAGGTCTTTCCTCGTGTGATAATTACATTTGAATGAGATGACAATGATAAATGACCATTAAAGGCATTGATACCCAAAAGTGATTGAGGGCATTTTTTTAAAGTATATGCCAAATTTGTAGGAACCTGTGTATCAGTTAAAGATCAAGAAGTGGGCATTTCAGTTTGAGTTGGACTTGACAGTAATTCTCATTTCATCAGATCAAGACTTACTCAAAGGTTGCACACGTTTTGGATTGTTATATTCAGTGGTAAATAAAGAGTTATGATATGATATGCCAATGTTTACACTTTTAATGAAGCACGTGTTGTTTTTAGGAGACCATATTGCTTTATATCAGGTCAACCAGGCGGTTGTTTATTAGGCTCCTTAAATATCATGATATTCGAGTCTTTAACGGTGTAACTTATTTATGGTTCATTGTACATGTTCACCATTTCCGGACTAATATGATAAGTAGTAAATGAAAAGATAGTTTTATGTATATATACATTGTTCATTTCTATTTACAATGTGCGAATGTTTTTCAAATTAGACTTTGAAATTGGACATGTCTGCTCTGTTATTACCTATGAAATTCAGTGCATATAAGATACCGTACACAGTTCCATTTAAATTTTATTCATGAAACGAAACATTTTATTACAAACTAATTGTAATTAATCATTACTAGGGTAGAATTCACCCTTCATATTTTTCAAAATAAAATATTGTTTCTCACAATATAACATTAGAGAATATCAAGATGGTTAAACATTTTTCAAAAAATAATCTTCACAGACTGTGCAGCAGTAAATCATATAAAAGGATAAAACATGGCGGAGATTTCACTCAACGTGAGAGCATACTGTAAAATAATACTCCATGCTGCCAAATATCCACATGCGGCTGTTAATGGAATACTCCTGGCAGAGGAGAACAAAACGAAACAATCAAAATCACTGAAATTTGTAGATTGTATTCCATTATTCCATATATCATTGAGTTTAGCTCCCATGCTGGAAGTTGCCCTTTTACAGGTAGGATTCAATAAGCCTATCCATCCCATAGAATCTAATTGTATCGATCATGTATCAATATTCTTATAATCTAACATCTGGACCATTTTGAATAATACAGATGAATGAAATTGAAGAACTGCAAATGTCATTAGGTTTATTCCCTATGATTATTGAGATAAGCTTGATATTTTTATTTTCAGATTGATGGGTATTGTAAAAGTAAAGGTTTAGTCATTGGTGGTTATTATCAGGCTAATTCTAATTATGAAGATATGACGTAAGTAACACACTACCTTTATTTTATGAATAAATGGAAAGTTATAAACTTTTGATTTGTTGTCTTATAAGCTTATGCTTAAGGAACAGTGCAGTTTGTGGAATTAACTATCTTGAGGTTTTCATAGTAATGTTAACTAAACAATTTCACAGGGACAGTTTGCATGTAAAGAACTTAAAAGTTCACCTTCATATTAAAGCTATTGAATAAAACTGTTCGAACTTAACTATTATTTTTCAGTTTGAATCATTCAGCTAAAGTTGTTGGTAGAAAAATATCAGATCAGATTTCAGATCATATTTCAGAAGCCTGTGTTTTAATGGTAAATATGATAATTAGAATCTGACATATAAAAATTATTGAAAATAAAGCCATCAGACAACCACACTATATAATGAGGAAATTTTGGAACAACTGAATTGGTTGTGTTAGCTATTTCTGAAGTAATATTTGATCTTTCTCTGCTGCTCGGATATAATTTTCTTCATTGTACACTGAGACGTTATACTCTGTAAAAACATGGTCATGTTTTGAGGATTATCTTGAGTTTTCTCCAAGTTGATAATGAAGTGAATTAGGAGGTTATTCTATTAATGGTTTCAATCATGTTTTTTGTAGATTGATAATAGAAGAATATTACCAGAGTCTTTATCAGAGGCTTATAAAGTTTATTGTTTTAAAGATAATAATTTTAAAGAATATGATAAAAGGTATTGATTTTGATTTGGAGATATGTACATTGACTGAATTATATTTTGAAAGTATGCGACTTCAATATCAGATTTAGTTAAGTGAGATATCATCTTGAATGTAAACAAAGTAAAGTTGTTATTGATTAAAAATAGCAAGTAATGCTTTTGGCTTGATGTTGTTAATAAACCTTCATCGTTTTCAAATTGATTTTCATGGCAAAATTGAAGCATTTTCTCAATGGAGTTCGCTTAAAAAAAAACTAGTTAGATAGAAGTCTTGTGTTGTTTCCCCCTAATATTTTATTAAGAATTTTGTATCAAAACATCAAATTATCTTTTTTTAGAGACACAGTTGAAGAAGAAACTTTAACAGTAGCTGGTGATTTACTACGATCTGAAGCTTATAGAAAACTTTTAGATTTTGATAACCATTTAGATGATCTAAATAATGATTGGAGAAATTTAGAAATAAATCAAGTAATAGATCAATGTGTATAGTAAATTAATATTATTTATTCAATTTATTGTTTATTTTCTGAGTTGTTATGAAATAAGGTCTTTATGGATATCAAAGCATGAAATATGGAATTTGATCGGGGATATGTTAAGCATTTTAGATATTTTGGTGCATAATAAGAGGCAGTGCTATCTATTTTGAAGAGTCTTAGATTCGATAAAGACATCAAAATGTGCTTCCAATATATGGGAAATTGTTTGGAGATGAGTTCAAAACAATGCATTTGATTCAGTTTTGAATAGTATTTTGTAATGCAGATCTTAAGAAAATTTGAATCAAAATTGGGCTTCAGTGATTTTGCATGATTTTTGTGTATAACACACTGCATGATTTGTCACCTTGAAGAGACAAAACTTTTTGTGTATACTGATTAATCATGAATTATTTTGTATGATTTTTCTATGTGACACATTGCATGATTTGTCAACTTCGAAGAGAATATACCTTATAATGATTAATCTTGATTTTGTTAATAATCAGGGTTGAATATGGGCATTATTATCTGAGCTTATTTCATAACTTCCACCTTTTTTTATTTCAATGATTACTGTATATATTTTGTACATTGATTTTGTCAACTAAACTCTAACTTAGAAATCTTTATAATTTGTTGACAATGTTTTCTGTATGGACTTTAATCTTGGTTATTTTGACCTACCACTTGGAGAATAGTGAAAAGAAGACAGGAAAATTGAATTAATAGTTATTGGTTTTCACTTATTCTGTCATTATGTTTGTTAACTTTTAAACAAGTGTAGAAAAACCCATTTTGATCAGTTTTACGGGTAGTTACAATTAAACTTATTGGGAATAATAACAGGATTATGTCCCTTTGACAGATTATTCAAATATCTCTATATAGGAGCTGTATCAGAAAGAATCATAATCGCATTTTATCACCAGACACCTGGTACCATTCTTCATTTGGAATTGTCAACTCTGCATCAGTTTCAGAGTTCACATGTAGCTCTTTGAAACAATTTGGTATTATATTGTACTGTATGATTTGGGAGTAAGATATGTATGAAAGAATGAATCCTTTGTATATGTAAATTTAATGATGTGTTAAATGGCAGAAATGGACATAATTTTGTGTTATGTAACTTGTATCTATAGACTATCTAAAACATATCTTATTGAAAGTAACTTAAAAAACAAACTTAGTTAATTCTAAAGGCAATTCTGACTCATTATTGCTTTGAAATATTAATCTACCAACTATCTCTTTATGTTTTGTGGGTAGATTTATAAAGATATCAGACCGTAATAAATTACTTTTCAAATATTTAGTTATGTATTTTGACAGATTCAATCAATATTCATATTCACTTTCATGATTTTGTCATTCATATTTGTTCTCACACCTTAATTGGAAATCTTGTAATGGAATGGGCGTTCTTCAGTTCTTGTTTTTCGCATTTGCAAGGCTGGATGTAATTTGACAAGCAACAAAGAAAAATACCCCTTATTTTGCAAATGAGTACTTCCAATCATACTTATATTAATACGAAGTATGCATGTTTGGAAGAGTTCACTTAAAGGTTGAGGGGTATACAGCCTTGCCTATTTGAGCATGCAAGTTTTAAGTATAGAAATGATAGATAGTGCTATTCAATACAATGTCAAGAAAATGTCCTGTTTATGTATGATGTTGAATTTTTCATTGTTATATGTATATATTGAACTGTAATCAAACATTTTTTTTAAGTCCACAAACATATTGAGAAATAAATGAAATCAACTGAACAGTTTCATATTTTTCTTTGAATTATCTCCCTTAGACTTAATGTTCAGAGGCACTTTACTCACTGTACATTTCACTGAAAATGAAATTAATGAAGTTTTACGTCTTACTTTTCTGCACCTAATGGGCTAATTAAGACGGGAAACGCCATGTAGTGTACAATTAGGGAAATTTTGTCAAGACAGCGGCATTAGCCTACTCTTTTTGATTTCGAGGGATCTTACAAACACACCCTGTGGCTGTATCACGATGCCCCTGTTTATTGGTCCATTCCAACGACTTGTTTTCCATGTCAGCCTCTCCGACCTGCATCACTGAAGGGAATGACATTTTTCTGCAAAATTTTTCTGCAAAGTCCGTAACTTTTCGACTCGCATTTCATTGTTGAATATGACAGAGCAGATGAGAGTGCAAATATGCTTTATGAATTTTTCCGTACATTCCATAACTACGGAATGTGATTAATTTGTCATTAGTATCAGTGATTTCAAGTCAAGGCGAATAACTCATATCCTCAAATAATAACTTGAAATTCCACAACCGACTTTTGCTATGTCAAGATGATCTTACATTTTTCGAAGTTTTAAGGGAATCGTCTTTTCTCTCTGTTTAACAGGCTGGAAAGTCAGATAATATCTTTGGCCAAAAAACAAACCTAATAAACCCGAATTTGTTAATTTTAAAACAGATTCAGAAAATGATAATTATAAATATTCAAAGAGAATTTCAGTGCAAACTCGCCTGATAAATATCTTGATTAATATCGACAAAAGAGGTGCAGTCTAATATTTCTTGAAAGATCAGTTTTTTCGACAACAAACAAATGACTCGCGCATTTAAGTATGAATTCGTATGAATATTTGCTATATCACGATATCAATTCCAGCTATCAGATTAACTTTCAGAATTGAAATTCGACGTAGGTGTCCCCACAATTCAACTATAGGTAAATGTGTAAGTTAAGACTTTCGTCCCTACTAGGCCGATATTAATGTTATTCAATTGAAATATTAGCCTATAAATAATACTTTGTTAACGGTAATACCCATTTGTATTTTCTCATAATCTAGGTGTTTATACTTAACACATCTGTTCACTATTAGCATAAAATATACCGAAGACCTTTATCTAAATATCCAATTGAAATCAACCTTAGAAGGATATTTTGGCCATGCTGTATGGAATAAAGTTTGGTTGATTCATAACTCTGTGTTTCATAATTTTACATGAGTACACGGCATTTGATTGGACACTTGTTGAAATTTACGAAAATAGATACAGTTATGACGCAGTTATCGGACCTGTATTATTAGATACAATATGGAAATAATGCAAAAGAGTGCCGAAAGATTTAGCATCTAGTGTCTGACAGCTTCTACTATCAAGCCTCTTACTACTAGTACTAGTGTTATAGTACTACTACTGTGGCATCTTCACTCATAGAATCATCGATCTTTCCACCAACCATACCATCCCACTCATTAAACTAGACTTCTCTTTCTACTCGCGGCAAACGATTCGACTTTACATCGTCCTTCATAGATCTTTCATGTCAATGACATCTTCACGTAAATATACCATCAGATCGTAGCGCTATTGTGTATTTTTGAGCATATTGTTAAGATAAGTGCCAAATTAATTGATGATAACGAATGATGTATCCTGTATTATATCACTATCATCGTGAATACAGTCGGAAGTATTGATGTTTCTATTTTTAGATGTGTGTAAGTATAAATCGTATATTTTTATTTGTAAATATACGTCGTTATTTTACTAATATTATCATATAACTTTAGTAAGCAAAGTTATATCTTTATCCCTTTGAAAACAACGGCACAGCCCATTCTCAACTGGCTGACTATGAAGGTTTCACAAACATAGGCTTAAGATTAAACTTGTAAGTAACAAGGTTTCACTTGCCACTCTCATTTACGTATCTCATTCACATCAAGAGGTTACTTCAGGACTAGTGGCGTCATTTTTATCTAAAAAGTACGAATACGGAAAGAATGGGGTCACACATAGTTCTTTACTATTTACTGATTTGA